AGAGCTGGTGCAAGGGTTAGGGCCTTTTGAATGTGCTACCGTTTTCCTCAGTGGGCAGGAGTATGCTACTGCTTCATGTCTTCCACAGCTGGTCAAAGGGCTGCAACGGTCCATACAGCAAACCCAGTTTGAGACAAGCTCAGGAAAAGCCTTTCAAGCCATTGCAGGAAAAGGAATAAGTGAGAGATGGGAGAATCTTAACACTGTGTCTGCAGAGAGAGACAACCCACTTGTTCTTGCAGCTGCCATCGACCCAAGATTCAGAAAGCTGAAGTTTATCTCACCTGAAGATGGCACAAGGGTGCAAAGTACAGTTGAAGTTCTTGCTATCAAAGAAGCAAAGGCCAAGACTGGGCTACATGATGACCCTGAGGAGCTACAGCAGAAGAAGAGGGGTCATATCCCAGGGGGAAAGTCAGCGCTGGATAACCTGCTTCAGTCTGACACTGACAGTCTGAATGAGGAAGAGGAGGAAACCCAGGACAAAAAAATCCAAATGGTGAGGAGGGAAGTTCAGATGTTCTTCACAGAGCCACCAATAGCCAAAAAAGAAGACCCTCTCAGCTGGTGGAGCGAAAATGAGGGGCGTTTTCCCACACTGTCAAACCTAGCAAGATCTCTTCTGTGCATTCCTGCAACATCCACCCCTGCAGAGCGAATCTTCTCAGCAGCAGGAAATATCTGCTCCCAGAAGAGAGCAAGTCTCACACGAGACCATGTGGATATGCTGACTTTCCTTAATATGAATAAACTGAACGACATAGCCTGAGCCTCATGTTGATTTTAAACTTCGTCTGTCCACCATGACAGGTTTGTGTCCAGGTAGTATCACACAGTCCATGTTTACAACTTAAATTCAGATGACTCTGAAAGCTTATTTTAAAACCGTTACATTTGATAATGTTGAGAGGAGTTGTAAAGTTCTTTTGCAATAGATTGACCACTGAATGTATCTCACAAAATGCACTTAATATTTTTGTTTACTGTTTTATTGCTGCTAATGTGCCTGCCCCTGGTTTACAGGAAGAAAATGTTTACTTGATTTTAATTTATTTTTTCTTATAAAACAAATGTGCCTGTCCTTGATGATAGAGTTAAATGATAGAGTTTCTTTATTTATGCATTTATGTCTATACTGACCGAGCACTTTGTGTTACTTTTCGTATGAATCGGCCTATCAGCAGCAAAGTTCAATAAAATATGCATTTTTCATTGAAGTACCCCCTTCTTTCTTGTGTTTACTATCATTTTCCACAGAATCAAAGCAATCTCATGCTAAATTTTAGAAAAATGTAATAATTATTCGATTAGTCGACTAATCGTTTCAATAGTCGGTGACTAGTCGACTATTAAAGTAGTCGTTAGTTGCAGCCCTACTGTACAGTAAAACTAGGGTTGGTAAAAGCATAAAACCATCAAATGAGTAATGTCAAACAACGTCAACATAGAAACACCTTGCGACAAACACGCTTCTCAGCAAACCCACCTGAGTTGGGAACTATGAGATGGCCCCCCAAGGAGTTGAAAGTCCCAATGGCGGTGCAGGAGGGGTCACAAGTGCGAGCCAAGCTTTGGTTGCGCAGGTTCAAGGTCTCATTGTCCAGCAGGGAGTGTGTCACCTTGGGCGACAACTTGGAGCCAAGGTCAGCCAGCTCCTCTTGAGGTGTGACCAAGCCAGATGAGTTGTACACCTTGATCTTCAGGTTGGGCAGGGGGTCCAGCAGGGGTGAGTTGGTCATGGGGATCTTGTCGGACACATCGTGAAGGGCGTAGACGGGGCCGCGGTACATTGCCGCTGCAGAGGTTAGGTCAGGGGGGACGGTCATCAGGTCAGCTGTAAAGGGGGGCAGGGCGGTGGGGGGGGGTATGGGATAACATAGACAGACATTCATAGTTCACCCAGCGCATCAAACGCAGCATTTAGACAAACTGAAGCCGAACAAATATATAAACATTCAGGTATTATTGGTTGTTGAAATGTATTAAATGACAAGTCAAGGGGAACTAGTGAAAGCAGCACTAGAGTTTCCAATACATGGGCATTTGAGATCATAAAGTAGTTTGTCGATAAACCTTCATCTCTCAGCAGAGAACCAGAAGAAGGTGACCAAGGCAGCAGCCCAGCCAGCAGGGGCTGCATAAGGCACCATTAAAACACACTAACTCTTATTAAATGCTCTGTGCCTTAATTATTTACTGTCCTCAGAAAGTTCACCTGCTCTATAACATGCAATTCTTTTTAATCTGTATAATTTTTGACAGCTCGCTAGCCCCCGTTCCAGAGGATCCGGGGAATAGTTCTTAAAGTAACAATCTTCACGGGCTAGATAAAGGTTACTTGGGAGGGGAGGGGGGTTGGCTGTTTTAACAAACTTGAAATTTGGATTCCCTCCCACTTGAGAGGGAAGACAATGAATGTACAGCGGGAGGACTGAAATGAAGAGTGTGGCATATCAGTCCTACAGGCAGCAGGGGGTGCAAAATCAAGCACAGACAAACGTTTATGGCTGGACCGAGATGTTGGGCAGCTGTATATGGGGGAGGGGGGTGCCCTTCTTCCACAGTTTCCAATCCCTGACAGCGTCAGAAGTACCCCGGCATCAGTAAGAAGAATACCCCTGAGCTTTCCAGGGACAGACCCACATCCATCTTTAACTTTTAACTGTAGAAGAGATTGTTGTGATCATTACTATATATGACTGTAAATAGACTGCCTCACAATCATTACTGTATGGGACTGTAGGAACACTACCTCATGATGTTTACTGTATGACCGTAAGTAGACTGCCTCACAATCTTTTCTGTGACAGTAAGATTGCCTCACAATCTTTACTGTACATGACTGTAAGTAGACTGCCTCAGGATTTTTACTGCAGAAGACTGCCTCATGATTTATACTGTATGTGACGGTAGATGGCCTCACAATCCTTACTGTATGTAACTAAGCAGACTGCCTTATGATCTTTACTGTAGAAGACTACCTCATGATCTTTGCTGTATGTGACTATAAGCAGACTGCCTCACGATCTTTACTGTTTGGCACTGTAAGTAGACTGCCTCATGATTTCATGCCTCATGAAATTCTCAAAGAATTTCCCCATTGTGGGATTAATAAAGTCTAATCTAATCTAATCTAATGATCTTTACTGTACATGACTGTAAGTAAACTGCCTCATAATCTTTACTGCATGTAACTATAAGCAGACTGTCTCGAGATTTTTCCTTCATGGGACTATAAGAAGGCTAAACCATGATTATTGCTGTACAAGACTGCTCCATTGTCTTTAGTAACTGTAAGAAGACTGTCTTATGATCTTTACTGTACATGACTTTAAGGAGACTGCCTCGTGATCATTACTGACTGTTAAATACTGATTTTGCATGCTATTATCTATTACCAGACCAAAGATTTGTGGAGTATCTTCTGCAAGGAATCATCTTCTGCTCACTGCCTTGGTGCACAGGCACGGTAAAGCCAGTTTGGGACAGTCCACCATCCCATCCAGGAGAAAGTGCTTTAATTTCCTTATCCTGTTCATTCCTGTTCCTACGGTCTGTTCATCTTTCAGCCGATTCGCCACGGCAGAAATTTAATTAACCAGGAACAAGCCACAGAGCACAGGGGGATGGGGGGTGCGGAAGCATAATTCTCCATCAGTGATAATCCGAGATCGGTCTCCATCACAGAGTGACAAGCGTTCTAATGGCCTCCCGATGAAATGTCAGCAGAGTCTCGCACACTGCAGCGGCGTCCGAAATTGCTTCCTGGTCTTTCCATCTCCGACACTGCATTTACATCCTGCATGTGTCTTCTCCTCCCAGACATACCAGGACCTGCTGCACAACTTCAACCCACCACAAAAGACCACCTTTAGCACCAGGATGGGGGAGAGCAGCCCTGATTAAGCAAAGCTGTTTGAGCTGGGATTTGACATTTTTAATCCGGACGTAATTACATTTCACTGTCAGCCTCAGCGATGGAGAAATGTTTGGTTTCATTTGCCATTGTATTTATTCTTTTGAATTATGACAGGGCCAATATCAATGCATGTGATGGTGATTATTCACAGGGCAAATGTAACAAAAAAAATAGAACAGAAATGAGAGAGCTGTGGGGACAGGCTGAAAAACCTGCTAGGCTGACCTTCCTGCTTTTGACAGTATGAGGTCACACTGGAAACACAGTCAAGTGTAGCAGAAAGGAGATCAAATGCTGGGAAACATGGCTTCCATACCACAGTACCAGGGAAAATCTCTTTAACATGATACAGTCTCTGCTGTTGGATGACTGATGGTTCAGGACAACTGGGCTTCAGTGGACTTTTCACGCATGATCTTCTCTGCTTGGCTACAGCCAGCCCCCCCAGTGACCAAACATCGCCCCCTGCAGGTGACTCACCAGAGCGGGCCGTCTTTATGTTGACAGACTGGAAGCCGCCATTGAGTGCCGACGTGTCGATAATGTCCGAGTCAAATTCGCGGTGGGTCTTGCGGTAGACGAAGAGTGCCACGATGACAGAGATGACCAGGCACATGATGACGGCGATGACGATGCCCACGTAGAGCGCCACGTCATCCGTGCTGGGCGCGGCTGTTAGCGGAGATGCAGGGATGCAGGTGAGTAGATGTCTAACCTGTGACCAGCATGTTTTTAGGGCAGGTCCAACCACCAATTAGAGTTCAATTTGGTGCATTGTGACTGCTGTAACTGTAGATGCTGGCTAACGACTAAAAATACACCACGATGATTAAACATTACATACACCCACACAGCTTTAAAAAATACATATATATATAATTTGATTTGTCTATTTCTTAATTTATAAACTCCACAGCTACTTTCTGCAATTTACTTGAATATTTAATAGGCTCGCAGATGTAAAACTGTGAAATTTTCATTAACACGGCCAGTGCAGACATTAATTTGGAACAAAGTCCTACCCATAATAAAGTTTTAATTGACAGAATGACTGTGACAGTAAATGACTCTCTCCAGGAACCTCCATGAGGATTCTGGGAAAACAGCTTGCCCTCCAACCGGCTGATGAGATGCAATAGAACTGCTTCTCTGAAATCTTCCAGATGCCACTCACGGTAAAATTTGTACTATCATCATTTTCAGTCCTTTACATGGTCTTTTAGCTGTGTGGCCTGTACCACTACATTCTTTATATTACAAAGTATAATAATTAACTGCACAGTCTGTACCATTATCATTCTTATCCCTTATTAAAGCTATTAGCTATATAGTCTATACCATTATCGGCTTCCATTTTAACAGGGTCTTTTAACTGTACAGTATGAACCATAATCAATTTCAGCTCTTATAGGTGCTAACACTAATTTTTTTTTGGAGTTTTTACATTTGCTGTTAGTACAACCTATACCATCATTTGCATCTTTTCATCTGCAGTGTTTCTCATGCGTTTAGCTTCAGAGGAAATATTTTTGAGCTGAAACAGCAGCAGGCCTGTCATCATGGGGGCTGGGGGTATACACAGACTGCTTCCACTCACAATCGCATAAAATGTTGCTTAGTTTCAGAATAGCTCAAATTCCGATGTCTCTTGTGATTATTTTCTACTTAAAAATGTCTCCCCCCGTGACCTTAAAACATCAATCCGAGGCCACATTTGGCAGTAATCAAGCAGTTCATCCCCCTGCCACTGGGTGTCAGTCTTGACCACTGAGTGTCACTGTTTATCTCCAGACAGAAGGTGCTATCGTATTCTACAGCCTGTTCCCTGCCTGAGAAGCAGCTGCCATTCCCAGGGGTTTCCCCACGAGCCATCGATTGGGGTACACATGGTGAAGTTGCTCAGAGACTAAAAGTGAAGACTCCATCTCTAGCGGAGCGAGGCGCCGTAAGCAACGGGCGGTTTGAAAAGCAGAACAAATCAATGTCAGAGTGAGTCGCAGTAGATCTGTGCTCGGCCAGTCACCATGGCACTGGGAATCAATCTGCCCTTCTAATGTGATCTTTGCCCTAGACGAGCGGAAGTCTGGTTCTGAGGACATCACTCTAACCTGCCTTCTTGCCACTCTTAGAGAACAAGCAGCACGTTCCTCGAGCTGCGGCCGATAAACCTCAGGATGAAATATCACCCTGGCACGGCCGCTGCGCGTGATCCCTGGCCCATTTGGGGTGTACCTTTCTCTACCTTTCACCAAGCAGAAGGCAGAGGGGCGAGTAAATCTGTATTCAGCGGATGACGCGACCTCACACCACTTAGCCCCTCTGATAGAAGGTATCGATCAACTTGCATCCTAATTAAGCCACCAGGAAGCCATGCAGATCGTTATGGGGTTGGGGGAGTAGGCTTTCCACTGGCCGCCCGCCTCCGAGGCCCCAGTACATGGCAGTGCACATGCAGCGCGCTTTGAGCACCACTGAGTTCCTGTCAGTGGGGTGGCGGCATGTGAGCAGGGCCCAGAGCTGGGAACAGCCCCGCCACCTGTGTCGCTCCTCCGGGCCACGCCCCTTTCAGACCCCCCCCCCCCAACTCAGCCTCCTCAAAGCATATGGGTGACCGCCATACAATGACAGGAAATGGCAACGGCTTGACAACATAAAGGCAGAAAAGAGATGAAAACAAATGATCGTTAGCATGTGGACCAGGCAATTGAAAACATATCCCACATTTGGTCACTGCACGGAAATGTCATCGGGGACGTTCGGGGAAACAACAGGATGTTTTCCAGAAGCAGTCAGAGCCGGTATGGTCCACTTCTAGACAAGGCTCGACTCAAATGCCACAGTCAGACTACTTAAAAAACTCGGTTAATCCCAGCTTAGAGACATGAGAAGAAATTGCAGCACCAAGCCTAAAGGCGCAAAAATCTCTGACCAACTCATCAGTTCCGTCACATTAACATCATATATAATTACGCCATGAGCCCCTACGCTCCTCATTTGGCAGCTGACTGTCTCAGGCCCCCCCCACAGGAGGCTGCATCACTGAGGCTGTTCCACATCGCAGCTCATCACCTCTTCCTCTCTATGACCTTATGATTTACCTACATAACTGCCTCCCTGTTGGAACCATCAGGTCCTCATACAACAGATCATCAGCCTGTAACTCCGGTATAGAGACCGTATCCGTGAGCTGGCACGATCCAGAATAATGACACGGCTTTCAGCACCGGGCCGTTTTCAGTCCTGCTTCCAACAGCTGGACCAACAAACTGTGATCACTCATCCAGCCACTGTGTTCCATCTCAAAACACTATTATTCCCGTTTTACAGCTGCTGCTCTGTTCGGACTTCCCACAGACGCTGTTTTCCACTATCCTCCACCATCTTCTTCGAAGGGGTCTGGGAGTCAGCTTGACATTTTCTCTGTGTTTCTGTTTCTGAGTTTTTCTGTTTAAATATGCATGTACACTACTCTCATTTTAACTAAAATCATGTATAAAAATTCCCTTCTGTGGTACCTGACCCATGATACTATGTATCTGTGCTGTTGCCAATGTTTTTATACTCTTTTTGGTTCATTTCTGTAATTCTAAGACATATTTATTGATGTTTGAAGATGGTCCTGCTAGGTCTGTAGGCATTTGAGGTGACCAGTGCCACCATGGTCTACTAGATGAAGGAGATATCCTCACGTCCCACAACAGAGCATGTTTCACCCATCACTGTCGACCCAGTGTCTACCTCATACTGTCCCCCCCACCCCCGCCAGGCTTTGGGGCAGCTCATCTCTGATAAGGGCTGAACTGTCATCGGTCCCACAAGACCAGTAAAAAAAGGAGACTCACTTTAAAGAGCAGCTCAAAGTCTCGCTGTGTGATGGCGTGTGATTTTGCCTTGCCATCTACCCTGCAGATTTTTAACAGATACTCCTCAAGCTGTGTCACCTTTGATGATAACAGCACCAAGCTTCTAAAATGTTAGCATTAAAGCATATTACATTAATACATATCTCTGTAATACATACCCCTGCATTAATACATGTCTTTGAACTCTGAAAAGAGGAAACTCCAAGCAGCAAGAACCAGAGAATTATTATGTTTTAACGGGCGTCTCTATAGCTTCAGGACAGACATGAATTTTACATGCTTGAAGAAAAAAAAACTCTCACACTTCAGAGAGGGAAATGTGGAATAGGGCCGTTTTCCGGAAATGTCTGAGCATCGGTCAAAGGTCAGCGGCAGCGGCGGGCCCGGCCGTGGGGGGTTTGGGGGGAGGGGGAGCGAAAGACGAAACCCAGGCAGAGCGATTGAGTCAGAAAAAAAGCGGTGAAGAAAGCATGAATGATGAACAGAACATTTAAAAAGATAAAGCAACAAACAAAGAGAAAAAGGGAAGCTGAAGATGAAATCGCAAGCGAAGGAAGAAAAGGACAACAAAAATAAAATAAAACGCAACAACTCACATGAAAATCCCAAATCAGTCTTGTGTTTCGGCTCGGGAGACATCTGAAAAAATGAAGCTTGAGGGGAGAAGGGTAGGGGGTGACATGAAAATCATATTCAAACAAACAAATATAAAGTGATGAACAAAGACATGCACGAGGAGCAGCACGAAGTCCTCTGCTAAGCACTGCTTCGCCTGGCCTTTCCCGTCGCCGGGAGACGCGGCCTGCGCTCCTACCGCTTCATTAACGACAACCGGCTCCACAAAATTAACCGTCTCCAGCTGATTCGCAGACTCAAGTCAGCGAGCACAATATGTTTGCAGCAGAAGCTTTGGCGGGGGGCCATAACAAATCGGCCGCTTTCGCAGGGGGGCCGTTACAGTACTGGTTAGTGTTATCATGCTGGTTAGTGGAGGCATGCTGCCACAGGATGGATTTTATCACGTGTATGGGCCTTTCTGGTCATCCTACATGCTAGAGCTCTATCATGGACGTGCAGAAGACACGAACGAGGGTCAAAGGGCAGGCAGGATACAGGCACCAGAGCCCATAGGCAGGCAGGATACAGGCACCAGGGCCAATGGGCAGGCAGGATACTGGCACTATAGCCAATAGGTGGGCAGGATACAGGCATCAGGGCCAATAGGCAGGCAGGATGCAGGCACTAGGGCCAATAGGTAGGCAGGATACAGGCACCAGGGCCAATAGGCAGGCAGGATACAGGCACTAGGGCCAATAGGAAGGCAGGAGACAGGCACCAGGGCCAATGGGCAGGCAGGCACAGAGGATGTATGAACACAGAAATGTGAACATGCAGAGGAGTATAAAAACAGCATCCAGGGGGGTATTGGTAGGCATATTGAGAGACAGATGGACCGAAAGTGTGGATTAATGTGACAGTAGATAAAGGAAAGAAAATGAAGAGAGGAGAAGTGGCTGGGGGGTGGGGTGTAAACATAATGAGGCCTTATGAAGATAGGATTGTGATTTGTTAGCATAAGTGTATTAATGATGCCTTCTGAAAAGATAAAACTTAAAATTGTTAATTAATGGCACAGCAACACTAAAACATGGAAGATGAAAGCATAATATTGAACCAATACGTGAGCAGCACAGAGCAGCATAAACCAGGGCTGCTGGCTTCACGGCGCGAGCCAAACTGCCGTTTTCACGCTTGCTGCCTTCAGTCATGAGAACAAAGATGGTGGACGGTGGATAAACAGCTAATTCATCACAGAGAGACGTTAAGAAAAGGAAGCGGTGCGTCCGATTTAATTAACCAGCAGTCAGCGTTTTTCCTCCTGGTCCACGTGGGCCACGTGGGGGGGGGGGACATGCGTCTAGAACTCTGCTACTTGCTCTGGCCACGTTCCAGACGTGCTTCCGATTTCCGATTACAGCGTGACTAAGGCCCCACAGTCCCAGGACCAGAAAGGTCTGTGGGTTCGTGAGCCCGGCCTGAGTCTGTTCTTACGCCCTTAACCTTCATATCCTGATAAAAACACCCCACATGAGTTAGGAAGGGGCATGGGGGGTGGGAGGGGACAGAGCTAGAAGCGGCAGGATAAAAGTGTTCACTAAGCAAATAACAGAAAAAGGTGTAATGTGATGGAGTAGTATTTCAGCCTGGATATCGGGTGAATCCATAACCATATCAAGGTGGATTCTGAAAGATCCCACGATTTAAGCACCTGCCACGAGTCCTGGGCTCCTGTTTCGGACGTTAATGACCCTTCGAGGGGGAGAAGGTCCTTTCAGGAATTGGGGCGAGGGCTATTTTTATAGGTGCTCTACTCATTTCCACTGAGTTTCAATTAAGTCCCGCTGAGGGTGATGGACTCACCGACTTACGCAGTTAAGTCATGTGATTAAAGCTGTAACTCCATCCTGGTTTCCGCTGTCATTCATTTGCTATTTGCTGTTCATTTGGATGGATGTGATTTATTTAGTTTCTTTCTTCAGTCTGCTAACCATGAGAGACGGGGTGACTGGGTAACTAAAGCGAGAGAGATGTGGAAGGGGGGGGGGGGTTCTGTTTGTGTTTCGTTTTCGTTGCTCCTCTATTCCTGCGGCACCACTGGAAAAATGTTCTGTGACTCCGTATGACTGGAGCCTGTAGCAAGAACAAGTGACACCAGAAGGGGGAACACGTCGGGACGCGGTGGACGGAGAACACCTCCCACGGAGCGTGGAATACTCCTGAAAACTCGGGCAACCCCTCACAAATATTTAGATGATGAAATCTTATCAGTCTGTGAAAGTTCCTTATTGTTATTAAACTCAGATGCCGTACTTGATCTAAAATCATAACAGTGCTATCCATGCACACTAAAGTTTGAAGAGCAACTAAAACATCGCTGTGGTAGGTTTTTTTCTTTTCTTTTTCTTTTAACGCATCTTTGTGATAGGAAGCAGATTCCAGACTGGGCTGGCAGGGCCTTGAATGGACAAAGCAATCAGTGTAGTACAGCACTGTCAGCCCATATTTAGGATAATCCAATAAAGAGGGAAAATCCATAGAGCGGCATTCTTACGAACAAGCAAAGCAATTAGGTTTGAGTGACAGAAAAAGGGAGATGAAGTGATTGATTTGATGAGATGCGGCTGGGGAGCGGCTCTTTGTCTGGGAGTCTGAATGCTATAGGCTGCTCTCTCTCCCTCTCTCTCCCCCTGTTTGTGTGGGGGGGGGCTAAATCACCCTACTATAATTTTCACAATCACATTTGCAATAATATGAGCCTTTGGAGCACACAGATTGTCCCCTAAATTTACATGGAAATAGTCATTAGTGAGGACAAAACTATCTGCGAGCTTTTAACTCAATCTGGGCAGGAAAAAAAATCAATCTGGGGAAATGAGTCTAAATCTATATCGATGTGGATTTTATATTCCCGGCGAATGGCTCATCCGTCTGATGGCCCCCTAATGGTGCGTCTTAGTGCCGCGGGAGAGGGCCAGGGGGCCCATGGAGGTGCTAAATGAGCCCAGGGATTGTTGGGGTCGCTCTAAAGCCCTCTCTTAACCAGCTGCATTCTGGGAGCGACGCCGGCCGTTTAAAAGAAGGGGGCTGTTGTGATAGGGTGACGTCCAGCAGGTCTGGAGGGAATGGATTTGGGCCTTTTGAAACCTGACCTGCAGACTTCTGTAAGATGGGTGGGGGTACCCTTGGCTACCCCTGTGGGCCTCAGTAAGTACAGCGACTGCACCCTAAACAAATTTCAGCTGAAAAGGGGAACTAGGAAACTAGAGACCTAAATTCCTGACGTGACACGGGCTTGGGTCTCCCATCCTGCCAGCACTGAATCCATGTGCCCAACCCTCAGCCCAACCACACAGCGGACAGATCCCTGGCAGGAAACAGAACCGACCAATTCCTGATGCACAGAACAGAAACAGTGCACGCGGATGGACCCGGGACACCAGCCGAGCGAAACATCACTTCTGACTCGACAGGAAAACAAACAAGCAAACAGATAAATAAAATTAACACGAGCATGGGCGAGATGACAGACGGCAAGCGAGACGGCCACAGACGGCGATTAATCTTCTGAGTAATTAGATTCACCTTGCAGCGGGGCGCATGCGGCGGCGGTGCAGGAGAGGACGCAGCTGGCGAGCCGCATCGTCTGCGCAGTCACACGTATAATTGGCTTCTCCGTGGAAACACACATTCACGTTACTGTGACTTTGCGTTTTAATTCGCCTCTTGTCTGCTCCTCTAAAAATCGCCCGCGTGCCTAAATTGGGGTTGGGGTGCCAATAAATCATTGAGGCCCAGTAATTATCACGTGCACAAACAGTAATTGTTTGTCATTATGGGGCCTGTGATGGGCGCCGGGTACAGAGACGAGCGGCATGCTTTCGGCTCTCTGGGGCCGCAAGTGGGCAGCCATGTCGCTCTGTGTCACACCCTACATGTGACATGCGTGTGCGTGCGTGTCTGCTTGCTCTCCTGCTGTTACACAGACATCACCCAAGTTGTTTCTCCTGCAACTCCTGCTATATAAAGAGGACATGACCACATGACCTTGTGGGGGCCTGAGGGTTTTGAACTAATTAGCACATGACACCTTTCCAGTATCCCCCCCACCCGAGTGTCTGCATCAGCCATCGCCACACACATGTATATGCAAAGGAGACAGAGTATGCTTGTATACACACACACACACACATATGTGTGTGTTTGTATTTTATGCTTTTGCATCTACACCTGTAGCAAACAGCATGTGCATGTACAGAGGGGCTCCGATGCAGCAACACTCACACTGCATGCGACAGGATACTCACTCTGCATGCAGAGCCCGTCGGTGCAGTTCTGTGACTGCAGCACCATGCCCTCGCAGTCCTTGCCCCCATTTTTGGGAGCGGGGGCATTGCACTCCCTTCGCCGCCAGTGGGTGCACTCTGTGCCGCAGGTGGACCACTTGCTCCACTCCGTCCATATGCCGTCCACTGGGGGGGGGGGGGAGGGGAGGCACAGGGGAACACGGAACGGACCATCAGTCCTTGTCAGACTGCATTCCCGCACTGTGTGTACGTACCTCTGTGCTTTGTTTATACGAGCAGATTGATTGAAAATGTCCCCTAAAGGTAGACATTCCTGTACAATAGATGTTTTGAGGACGTCCCCACAAACACTTCATTACTGAAAACATTTCATTTAAGAAGTAAAGGAAATCAATTTTGGTACACTGGGTTTAAAACTGACTATTTGCTTTGAATGGACATTTTAAGAGGGGGCCCACTGGGAAGCAACTGTAGAGCAGATGTCCAAAACTCATTCAGTCCACAGGATGCATGGATGGGATTGTAAGTTCATAAGGAAGCACCATTTCTGTGCACTTTTGTGTGGAGTTTTTGAAATTTGATGAAGGTTCTTTGTTGGATTACATGAGGATTGAGTGAGTATTGGTTCCCAAACTGTAACATATGATGAGGAAGTTTGACTTTGGGTCATTGGTGCTCTCATTTCACTAACAACAAAAAAGTAGACGTAGTACATTTTGGAAATGTGCTCAATAGTTGTGTGTGTTTACATTTTATTTTCTTAGGTATATATGTCACTGCGCTGATGCTTTACAATCGCCGGTAGGACCGACATTTCAGTGACCAGCCGATGAATCAGGTGACGGAGGTTCTGTGTGGTGCTTATTGTACATTCTGCAGCCGGTTAGAATGTGAGTCTCCCCATGAGAGATTATGAGATCTGTGTCTCATTATCCCACATCGACACGCTCATGTCCTGCAGACAGCAGCTCTCAGCCACGTACCTGAGCACAGGGAGGTGCAGGGCAGCTTCTGCACGCCCTGGCCCTCGCAGAACGCCCCGCCGTTAAGCGGTGCTGGGTTGGTGCAGGTGCGTGTTCGCTTCTGGTATCCCCGACCACAGCGGCTGTTACATGCCGACCACTCGGTCCAGGTGGACCAGCCTCCGTTCACTGTGGGCAGAGGATTGGGTTGGCAGCCTACCTTCTGTCATCTCACAGCCTGCCTGCTTTATAAACACAGCGGTTTCACCCTCTAATTCAGATGTATATTTATTTAGAAATTTGAGCAGAGTGACTCCCCCAAGGAAATACCAGGATACCCTTGAATCGACAATCTTTCGGGAGGAGGCTCTGTCCCTCACCACTCCTCTACCCCCCTCCCCTCACCACTTTTCTTACCCCCTCGCCCTTCCTCTACCCCCCCCCCCTCGCCCTTCCTCTACCCCCCGCTCCTCACCGCTTTTTTACCCCCTCGCCCCTCACTGCTTCTCTACCCCTCTCCTGTGCTAATAAATCACACACAGGCCACTGAGTCATTTTTCCGTTTCTCCCCGGTTCCTGCGGTTTATCTCCAGACCAGTTACCGTGGCAGCACAATGGCCGGCTGTTTCTCGTAGGCCGTCCCCGCGCCTCCTCCCTACTTGTGGTCTTTTCCTCCTTCTCCTGTTACCTCCGGACATGAGAGTTCTCCATCACCCTGCTCCTCTGCCCAGCCAGCTCAGTGCACAGCAGTTTCCATCTCCGCTAACCCAATTTCTTGCCCTCCACCCCCCCATCTCCCCAAAGCCTCTCTCTCGCTCACATCGTTCAGCGGCGTGTAACCCCAGCGCCCATAAGGCTCCCTGCATATCGACGGCCCCCTTGACAGGTCTCTCAGAGGTGATGCACGAGCGGGTGAGCACATGTGAGGCTCTTCGAAAGCCAGCAAAGAGTTTTATTGGCTTATAGTTTGAAGACAAATCCGGGGATTTGGTGGGTGTCACTGGGCGTGAGCTGTGTGTATGTGTGTGCACGCGCACGCACGCGAGAGTCCACGTGTGTGTCTGTGTGCTTTTCGAAAAAGTTCTGATCTCGCTTGGTTCTGGGGCTCCTCTGATGTGCCGGATTAATCACCAGTCTCTGCGCCTCGAGCCCCCCCCCCCCCTCTTCTGTCCCTCCATCCAAGCAGGCTTGAGAGAAGAAACGGTCCAAATGACAAACGGGCCCAATCAGTGTGCTTTTCCCATCGAAAGGATGAGCCCACATCAAAGGCATCCCGGCACACGTGCTCTTGCAAGCAGCATTAGCAAGCGGCTGAAACACGCAGGGGAACCCAGGACCCCCCGCCTGACTACTCTGGCTCCGCAGTTCTCTCAACCCTCTTGTGTGCTGCCTTTTCGACGCCGTTCTGCAGCAGCCAGGCTCACGCCGCCAAAATGAGGTCAGCCACACCAGCTCCTTCTTCAAGCGGCAACAAAAGACGAGGCAAAAAAAAAATGACACCACACAATCCTTTCAAGCAGAGTCCCAGAGAAGACGATTCAAACTGTGTTTTTTCACATTGACATGGAACCAGCGAGAAGCAAAAAGGCAAAGAAATAACTTTACTTTTATCTTGGCTTCTGTAATGTTAATGATTCTCTTAGGATGCTCCTGCTTGTTCATTTAGATGTTGCTCAACATCAGCTGAAGATCGACAATCCTTCCTACCTCCAGCACGAGCTGTCGTTATTCTTCATGCTGGACAGCACCAGCTGCTAGCTTAGCTCATGACTAACGATTTAAATGACATCACTGGGCACTTAATAAGTAGCCCTTTGATCCTCTCTCTGAAAGAGCTGTGCTTAAAGAGAAATACACCGGAGCACAGCATGGCCCCAAAAACTGAAGCCAACCGTTCTATTCATGAGAGGTAAGTGACACGATGTGGCTCAGCCAATCAGAGGAGCCCCACAAGGACTGCCCGAGCAGGACAAACAAGGACACACTTTTGCACGCTGCTTCTGGAGGAGATGGAGGGGTGCTGGGGATCTTGGACGTGGCCAGTTTGGCAAGTCTTTGTTTGTGGCCCCGCATCTCGCAGCCGTAAGTGCTGGGAGTTCACAAACTTACAAAATCTTTCCAGAAAGAGAATCAAAATATTCCTCGGCCCTCGCAGGATAATCCACACATGAATGGAAAGACGCAGCAGCCGGGAAGCCTTTTCCGGGAAGGAGATCATGCCGGAATGCCGTATTCACCCTCTAATCTCCATTCACCGCACTCTTTGGCCAGGCTCCCCTCTATCGACCGTGTCTGGAACTTTCCAGATAAACGCCACAGCGACCGGTGTGCTTCTGAGCTCTGGCTGAGCTGGGTCACGTGTCACATTCATGGCGGACAGGCTGACTTCCTAACAGGGGTGTCCAGGCCTAAAAGGAGAGCCCTAAGGCCTAAAAGGAGTGTCGTGACCCGGTTGCGGTCCTAAACCTCGCCGCTGCCTCGGCCTTGCGGACCCATGAATCATTTTACACTCTACACTGTGTCTGAGCTAATAAATAAGAGCTTAAACAAGACACAATAAATTGCTGTGGAAGTAGCACTCGGGAGTAATTTGTTTGGAGACAATGGTATTGTGTTTAATAACATTCATAGGAAAGGAGGTGGTTTTTGGTAACACGATCCAATCGAGCTACGTCTCTGACTCAGAGCCCATTGTGGTGATCACACCTGGCTGCCTGTGCATACATGCTGACCTTGCACCATTAAGCAGAAATGAATGATGGGTAGGCCCAGAGACCTGGGGGCAGCTGGTGAAAGGGGGGGTTGGGGCGGAGGTGGGGGTTGTGGGGCTGATGAAACTTCTAGCACTGCTTTATCTAGTTTCACTTAATGGGATAGGAATCATCCAGAAACTTTGCTTTTCTGGTTGAGAAATTCTGCTAAGTAATCCTATTAATAAAGCATATCCGGGACACGAGAGTGGCTCTTACACTCGGGAATCCGTGTAAACACAATGCCAAGAGAGGACTGGATCCCTGATGGTGAACATATGACATGCTGAATACGAAGTGGTACCGGGGCTGGCGGCCATTTGCATGCAATGCTGTAAGACGCAGACCACGGACAAGAGCGGCTGAGTGACGTCATGTGATCAGCCTACACGCCTGTTCCCAGGCCTTACATAAGACTGGCCTCTGCTCTCTCTCATGTGAATGAATGAGTGAATGAATGAATGTTACATTTAGTTAGCGCTTTTCAAGACACCCAAAGCACTTCTACAGAATCAGTGGGGAGCCTAAGTAGCTAAGGTGAGTGAAGGGGCAGGAGCGGATTCACCAATTAGATATAGGGGTTGATTAGGAGGCCACATGCGAAAGGGCCACAGTGGGCAATTTTAGCCAGGGTATCGGGGTACCACCCCTACTCTCCCCTACTCTCCAGCTGCCCTTCTGCCCGCCTCTATCCTCATGCTGTTCTGTTCACCATCCTGCTCCAGTCAGGTGTTACAAAAGGGAATTAAAAAGGGTCCAAAAGTATCTTTTCAATATTCACAGCAAGAGATGAGACTGTAGGCAAGAGACACACAGCTGAAAGCTAGAGGGTGTGAGCCCTGAGCCCGGAATGGCATGAAGAAGAACATTCCAGAAATCTACAGCAAACAGAGAAATACTCCAGCCATAAGGAAGAGGAGCGGCATGCACGTAAACATACGAGCTCCATGGATCCGTGCACCGTGTACACGAACACGTGGCGAGCGCTCGGGCGCGGAGGCAGCGGGCCCTGTGTCAGAGCATGTCCTATTACTCTGTTACTTTACATTCTCTCCCTTTGTGACATAATCTTTATTCACATCTGCTCTGCAGTCAGCTACAATTCTCCTTTGAGGGACTTTGATTACGTCCCAATGCCACCCAGGAAAGGAGTCGTTCAATCAGAAAAATCAACTCCCCCTGCGATCCGACGTGATCCGGGAGATTCTTAAATTTAGTTTATACATTCAGGACCGACCTGAAACCAAGCTGGGTTGCCACGGTGAATCTGAATATCGCCGGCGCTATTTCCGCCACCGCTTCCCGTAACCGCGTTTGCGTCTCTCCAAAACGGCCATGTAAGTTTCCCCAGGAAGGCGGCCGTCAGCCGAGCAGAGAAAATGTAAATGTGAAATGTAAATGTTCCTCCGCAATACGCTCCCCGAAAAAGACCCTCTGGCACTGACAGTGAATTAATGAAACAGAACTCCAAACGCGTGGGTAAAGCATGGAAACAGCCACGACTGTCTGAGGAAGTAAAACAAATGTATATCTTATATGGGGGCCGGGGGGGGAGAGAGGGGGCAGCTGCATGACATTTACACTTTTCAAATATTTCCTCATATATGACGAATTACAATATAACAGGAGTGTTCCCATCATAGCGTTTTACTCAAGCATTTACATTCACCGCAAGAACTTCATATTCATGTTCACAGACTGAGAAATTCATACCTCCGACAAGGCACACTGTCATTAAAGAACCCAACCAGTTAATACTAATACTACAAACAGCTTAAGTTTAAAGTGTAAGACTTATGTGTTGGGCAATTTTAATGTAAAAATCAATTTGTTTCTGATACTGGCAGAAATAACATGGTGTTATATGGAAGATTGAGGCATGCAGCCAAAACATTAAAAGTGGGTCAGATCTGGAGAGAACTTAAATGTATTTTTACGGCAATTTGAGCTAATTGCTAGTGGGGCATATGAAAGTAAAGGCAGGTCGTTTGGTATTATCAGCACACGACCAATGACTTCAATTAACCAACCATCATGCACTAATGGGCCAGCCAATAGGCTCATGGAGGCGAGGTGGGATGAGGAGGATGAGGACAAACCAGTCTGTGAATAGACGGTGGTAGCAGGGATGCTCTGTGAGTTAGGACTCTATGCCAGTTCTCTATGCGGAAGGCCGCCAGTTTAAATACCAGCGTGATGTGGCCGTCGGGCCCTTGAGCAACGCTCTTAACCTTAATTGTTCCAGCGGTTGGCTGACCCTGCTTCCTCAAAAATATACATCGCTTTGGATAAAAGCATCTGATGAATATAAATGAAATGTAAATGTAGTTCAGCTGAAGGATGCCGTTTCGGATCATGTGCTGGGCGATGGCTTTACTGTGAGGAAATGAGAGAATTAGCATCAGATGCAGGATGTACGTAACAGCAAAAAGGTTGGGTGCCGTAGAAACTGCAAGATGCTGGTGAACTGCCCATATTCGGCGTGAAAGGCCACCGACCCCCACTTACCGTAGACGATGACAGTGGCGGTGGTGCTTCGCCGCCTGGCCACGATGTTTTTAGCCACGCAGGTGTAGTTGGCTGTGTCCGAGAGGCGGGCCTGCTTGATGATGAGGTTGTGGTCGATCGTGATGTAGAAATTGCGGTCGTCCGCCGGATCGATGACCTCCTCATTCTTCAGCCACTCCACCTATGACGACACAGGGGCAGAGACATGGATGGAAGGATGTGAATATCAATGAAAGGGACTGAAGAAGAGCAGGAAAAAGGTGTGTATGTCATTATAAGCTCAAAAGACTCAAAACCTTTCATATCAATTATCATTATTAAATAAAACACGACACAATGTTTTATAATACAAATGCTAAGAAATATATGTTCATTTACAAAAAGTAGCATTTGCTAATGCCCTGCCTTTTATTTACCTTTATGCTCCCCGTTAGTTGGACAAATACTTTCATTTTACCTACATCATAAATAAATAACAATGACATTTCTTATGGCTATGTCAGAAAGATTCAGGCTTTGTTTGATCATGAAAGTGAAAATAATTTTTTTTTTTTTTTTTAAATACAGGTTAACCCAAAAGCTCAGCAACCAAATCCACTCAGAGCTGATGATTCAGGAAACTTTGAGGTAATCCCTCACAGTTACAGAGCCAGGGCTGATCCAAGTTCGAGGTCAGGTACGGTCAGACAGGATAGAGGAAAGTTCGCTAACGGGCTAACACGACGTTCCTGCTTTGAACCTCCTCTCCGAGCCGACTGGCGAAACTCCCCGCACTACTCCTGGGGTGTACAGAAGGATAAAGCGATACATCGTTCTGACTCTGATTGCCATAAAGAGATGTGAGGTCAGGCGCTAAGGAACTTCTATACAGCTATAAGTCATATGACACACTTTGCTTCAACAAGTCAGATGCTGAAAAATCACGTACAGATTCAATGTCACTACCTTTCCCAGTGCATTGTGGGTCGACACCAAAGATGGAATATTGCTCCTGCACTGGGAAGCCACAAATAAAAAAAATATTAAATCCAATAAGGAAAAAGGGTATATGAAATAATAATCTACAAGTGATACCTGTGTCCCTCCCATTGATAAAGAACGGGAATCATATGTGTCCGTCACACAGAATTTTAGCTATTACAGGAACCACACCACCGTTAAGCAGATTACTGTTTCCAAAAGGGAGAGAGATTTTGGGTAATATATATAAACACTACTTAGAATTCACTCATTTATGAGCATGAATTGTTTGGTCAGACTTCTCCCCCACTGCTCAGCAACGGGAAAAAGAATCCCATATGGGTGTGGATCTGGAGAACCTCCCGAGCTTGTTCTCGGTGACAGACGGACGAACAAATCACTGACACTTTAACTGGCCATAAATCATCCTTATCACTGTTTGTTTGTTTATACGGATGCTCTGCAATAATAAAACTCATTTGTCAGCTGACGTTACAAACACGGTTTTTATGTGTGGGAAAACAAAAAGGGGAGCAGACGAATCACGTGGCAAAGCCTGGAACCCATACAGCACACGGTTACACACAAGCAGATCCAAGGCGTTCAGGCAAATCAGTAAAACATCCACAAAACTGATGTCCCGCTTGAGTGGCAGCCACTGCCCCAGCAAAGGCAGCCACCCTGCCACACACACACAGGGCAAATTCAACATAGTGTTTCTCTGTGTTCCATGTTCTCGTGTGGCTCTGTGGCCAGGAGAACCGGTGCTCGCAGCCTAAGAACCGCAAATGTGACAGCGCAGACGAAACTACTAGGGCCCCTGTGTGTTTGTGAGTGCGGCATCCACTGGAGTGGTGACGAAGGTGATGGGGGTGGGGGGGCGTTTCTGCATCCACGGGCCCCTGCCACCACGGCACCCCCAGGAAGTGAGTTTTATTCTCGCTTTTACATCGGTGGTGCATAATTCATCAGCGGTAATATTGTAGACATTACGAGAATATTAAAGCATAAATCAGTCAAGGCGGTGACTCAAGCACGGATAAGTAAATGGTTAGTGAGCACTGGTTTACGAAATTATGTCAAAACGGTTTGTTTTAAGGAGCGTAGGAGAGCGGAATGGGGGGGGGGGACGCTAGTGAGGCTCGCCCACAAAACGAAGCCATGGCCAAGCCAGTGTGAGGCCAGAGAGCAAAGACAATAAATAACAATAATAATTATAACATCACGGGCTGCAGTCGGCAGAAGAGATGACCTGCGGGGGGCGATGTGGGACCTCTACTCAAGGTCAAGTGTAGCCTGAATTGAGGATGAGAGCACAAGAGGGGGGCATCAGGCACCCCTATGCCTCTACTCCACTCAGAGGACCCCCCCCCACCCCCCCCGCCACCCCCAGAGACCCTTTATCCCCGCCGTTCTTCCGCTCGAATGCCCCCACGCTCGGCTTCATGCTCGCTCCGACCCCCTCCCCGGGGAGGTTTATCGCCATGCCCGCCGAGCACGGCGGGGGTCTGGAAATCATAGCAATTACAATGTAAAAAAAAAAAAGAAAAAGATAAAAAAATAAAAATCAGAAAAGCATTCGGACGGCTGCAATCACCCATCGGGGGGGCGCGGGGAGACGGCCGATCGGCTAATTAGCGGCCGCCCTACTTTCATGCCAAAACAGAAAATTGCATTTCCAGTGAGATTCTGCATGGCGACTGAACGGAGGGCAGGCCTGCACCGCCTTTAAAGCACAGAGCACCTCCTTCCTGTACGGAATCGATGGGCGCCTTTTCCGGGCCGTTATTTTATATTTACAGTGGAAAATCAAAGGGTTTCCAGGCAGCCATAAATGAGGGATGAAGCCAATGGGGAGAACAGAGTGGTATGTACTAATGAGATATTCACTTATTACCGTGCTGAGACGAGAGACACAGCCTCTCTCACGCTACGAAATTATCTGTGATTGAAACATGAACCTTTATCATTATCTATCTTTTTTTTTGTTTATCGTAGATTAGAAGCAGAGAAGCTGTATACTACAAGCGAAATAGTGCCCAGATAAATCTGGCACCATTTTTCGATGCGCGGGAGCGTGGTAACCAGGGTAAACAGAGTAAACGCCATGCTAATGAGCAAGGTGGGCAGGATGAGGTCAGAACACTCACGTGGATCAAGAGTAAATTCTATGTTAGAGACTCTGCTAACATAGAAAGAAAACAAAAATGAGATTTATTACCAAGTTACCTTCAAGCCAATGAGGCTGCTAGTTATGCAGAGGGCAGGGATGAGGTGTTAACAGCGTTGAGTTAACACAGGTGTTTGGCCCTGGGACGCAGCTCACGTTTTCGGAGTGGGGGCTAGAAGAGGCGGAGGATCATTAACAGGCTGGCTTTGTCTCGGCGCTGGAAGAAGGAATGAAGTGGACTTGGTGTCCCCGTCACCATGGGCCCCGGGCGTAGGGGTAGGGAGGCCACAGTGCGGGACTATCATGCAGTGCTGTGAGTCTAGCTCTCATGCCGGGGGGGGTCAGGCCTCCAAGCTGACCTGCTAGCAGTACAATTTTACACTCTCTGCACAGTGTGTGTGTGCATGGTGGGGGGGGGGGTGCAACCCTAAAGTGGAGGAAAATTACATGTTAGAAGCTAAGTGGGGAAAAAAAACACCACTGTGTTCTGTGAAGGTTTTGTTAAGGCACTGATAATTTCTTGTTTATTTTTTATTCATTCGCTCGTTCAGGGGGGAGGCTGTTTATAATTTCATATTCCCATCTTTGTGCATTTACACAGCTGTAGTGATTCTGGGTCAGGCCAGGTGCCCCGTTTGATCCGGGGGGGTGATGGATGCACCCTCCTGGGAGGCCACCATCCTGCTGTCCCAAGTCCTCCATAACTGCCACATTCAACCTAGAGATCTCATTACAATAAAAAGGTCGAACTTCAGCAGAAAGAGGGCTCCTGGAAGCCAAGGAGGCTGGTGCTGGGATGTGTAGAGCACTTTTTAAAGCATGTCATTGCAGTGGCATTAAAGATACAGGCCGTGTGTGTGTATTGTAATTATTACAGTGTGTGGACCCAGTACACCCACAATATGATAACAACCTGTTACATTTTACCTAAAAGGAACATTTTTCTGGTCTCCACAGAGAAAAACCTCAATTTTATAAAAGTCTGTGACTGCATTCAAAAAACTAAAGATGCCAAAAGTCTTGTATTTTGTTTGATTACTAATGGTTAAGTTAGGGCTGGGTAGGGGTTAAAAATGTCATAGTAAGGATTAGGGATTTGCCCATAGAAATGATTGGAGAGTCCCCATAAATATATGAATACTTGGACTGTGTGTGTGCGTGTGGTTGAGTAGGTGTAAGGGTTGGTGTCTTTATAGAGTAATCATTTAAGACTGAAGACTCATTTCAGGGTCATTTGTGGCTTTCGATGGACCTCAAGCTGACTTCACCAGGTCAAGCGAGGAGGTAAAGGGACACAGTCATTACTTTGGCCAACACTCTGTAGACTTGTGAAGGCCTCACACCTGCGTAGCTTCCTCTCTGCGCCTGCCTCCAGAATGTTCCGCTCTCCATACACGCACACACACAGCCTCGTTCACAAACAGATGTGCCCCTGCTCATTATTGACTGATTGGCACCAGGAGATTCATTAGAATAATTGGCTCATTTGTTGTCATTAACCCAGAGAAAGCACCACATGTCAGTCTGGGAGCACGTGTCGGAGGCGAGGACTTGCCCGTCAGCCCAAAGCCATCGTGCCGAAGGTGGAAAGATGGACAAATCCGAGGAGGCAAAATCGTGCCACGCTCAGGAGCGAGAGAAAAGCTGCATGTTTCCTCTCGGAGTTTAAACACCGGGCAACAACGTTCATCAAAGCAGCCATCAGACAGACACCAAACGCCATTACAGGCCAATTACAGGAACGCAACTCAATCAGCTCAAGGCAGAATAAACGTGATTCGGAGACAGAGCGCAGTGCGGTGTGTGTGTGTGTGCCAGATGCTCCCTGGATGGGCCTTGTGCCAGTGAAAAATAACCAGCTATCAGACCTCGTGTGTTCAGGGCACAGAGGCCTGTAGACACAGACCAGTGTGAATGTTTCCCCTAATTCCATTCAGCTCACCTGCCAAGTCCTGATAAGCAACATCAACGAAATACCCTCCGGTCCCACATATCACCCATGGCCTGTAATTTTAAGAGCGGTTTGTAATTTAAAGTCTCTGTTTCAGCCG